ACATTCACACCATATGTACAAAAAAATAAAATAAATAGAACAAAATAATAATCAAAAGTATATACAATAGACAATAAAATAAAATAACCTAAAAAATAAGAAAATTAAAACTAAGGAAAAAAAAAAAATAAAAATAACATGCATACCTATATACAATCAGGCGAGGGAACTCCAGGAGAACCCTGCGCTACTCTTCCAACCGCGTCACTGGTACTAAAGCCAGCGGAGATTGGTCGAGAGCACTTTAGCCACATACACACATGTCTTGAGTGAAGAATCTGGCCATTGCCAGAACTCCAATTTATATAATTTACAAAAGGTCGCGAGGCCACTGCCGTTTCAACCTTCTTGGAGGATTATAGGGATGGGAGATGCTTGATAGGGATTGTGCAAGAGGATTTGGGTGGTAAGTAAGGTTCTGGTGAAATTTGGAGAACTTTTCTGGGATAACGTCTAGGACAAATGCGATGTTAAGGTCATGATGTAGGGTTTTGTTGGATACATAGAAAGGAGCATCGACTATTGTTCGAAGGACTTTAGACTGGAAGGATTGGATGCGCTTGATGTTAGAAAATTTTGCTGATCCCCACAGTTCTAGTCCGTAAGTCCAAATAGGTTTCAGTATTGTCTTGTAGATCAGTAGCTTGTTTTCAATGGAAAGTTTAGATTTTCTGCTTAGTAGTCGGTATAGTTGGCCGTATCGTCGGTTGAGTTCTTGTCTTTTGAGTCTAGTATGCGGGTTCCAAGTTAGTCTTCGGTCTAAATGAAAGCCAAGATACCGGACTGTGTCTGAATAAGGAAGCTGGATGGAATTAAAGAGTACTGGTGGACAGGAATTGCGTCGGAGTGTGAAGGTAATATGTTGGCATTTAGTTTCATTAACTTTAATGCGCCAGTTATTACACCAGTGCTCAATCAAGGTGAGGTGACTTTGGAGATTTAAGGATGCTATTTCGGGATCAGAGTTGGATGATAAGATTGCGGTGTCGTCAGCGAATGTTGCAAGAAAAGTATCGGGATGAACAGGGATGTCAGCAGTAAAGAGGATGTAAAGCACGGGACCCAAGACGCTGCCTTGGGGAACACCGGCTTTAACGGAGTAGATATTGGAAAATTCTGTTCCACAGCGAACTCGAAAGGAGCGGTCAGAGAGGTAGGATCGGAGGACTAGGTACAAGGACTGAGGTAAATGGATTTTAAGCTTGGAGAGCAGTCCGGAGTGCCATACCCGGTCAAATGCCTGTGCAATGTCCAGAAAGGCACCCGAACAGTATTCCTTGTTTTCTAGGGCTGAGGAAATATGATCAACAACTCGGAGTCCTTGTTGAACAGTAGAATGTTGAGAGCGAAAACCAAACTGATGGGAAGGGATATTTTGGGATTCTATAATGGGTAGGATTCGTTTCAAAAGGATCTTTTCAAAAATTTTTGAAAGGATTGGGAGTAGGCTGATTGGTCTATAGGATGTTGAGCTATTGAGAGGTTTTCCTGGTTTTGGGAAAAGGATAATAGTGGAGTGTTTCCATAACAGAGGGAAGTGGGTGGTGCGTAGGATACAATTGTAGATATATGTAAGGAATATGACTGCTTTGGATGGAAGTTGTCGAAGGATTTGAGGTGTAAGGAGATCATGTCCAGGAGCTTTACGGAGGATTAGTTTTTTTAATTGAAATTTTACTTCGGAAGGATGAATAGCTTTAGGGGGCAAGGAAAGTGGGATTGGTGATGTAAGGAGTTCTTCTACTGTTACGGTGTGGGCAGGATGGGATTCCGGATGTGAAATAAATGTATTGGATAGGTGAATGGCGAACTCCTCAGCTTTATCTTCGTCAGATGCTGCCCAGGAGCCATCACCTCGTCGGAGAGGATGGGAAATGCGGTGAGGATTTAGGATTTTTGTTGTGGTTTTCCAAAGGGAATTGTCGCGAGAAGAGAGGGAGGATAGGTAGGAGTTGAAGGATTGTGATCTGAAGGTGGCTAATTCCAGTTTTAATTGTTTGCAGTAGTAATTATAGGAGCAGCGGTCGGTAGGATGTCGGGTTCGTTGCCATAATAATCTGGCACGGCGTTTGGTGCGGATTAGGTTAAGGAGGTGTTGGGGTAGAATGGTCTTTATAGGAATTCTGGAGGAGTCTTTTGGAAAGGAGGCAGTCCAGGCGGCTTGTTGGATTGTGGTAGTAAAGGAATTTACGGCACTATCAAGGTCATCGGGAGTTTTGAGGGATATGTTGAGATCAATATTATCGGAGATTATTTGGCGGAAAAGGTCCCAGTTTACTGGGCCCCTAATGAATGACGGTGGAGAAGGTTTGGGAACAGGTTCAAGTGAAACATTAAGGATTAGAGGACTATGGTCAGAGGAAAGTTCATTTAGACGTGTAATGGAACAATTGAGGGGACTTAAGCCGCTGTGGATAAAGAAATCAAGAAGATCAGGATTACGGTTGGGATCTGTGGGCCAGTAGGTAGGAGAGTTGGGGGAAAGGAGGTGAAAACGTTGGGAATTGAGTGCAGACAGCAGGGTTCGGCCACGAGAATTCGTGGTTCTGGAACCCCATTGTTGGTGCTTGGCATTTAGGTCTGCACCCAAGATGAAGTGATGTCCTAAGGAGTCGAGGAGAGAACTGAATTGGGCATTGGATATGGATCGATTAGGAGGGCAATACGCTGATGCAAGAGTGACCGGAAAGGAGAAGGTTTTTATCACGATAGCGGTGGACTGTAGGAAATCATGTATTGGTAATGGGAGTACGTGATGGGAGAGGGATTGGTGTACAATTACAGCAGTACCGGCATGTGCTTTTCCGTCAGGGTGGTCAGTACGATATGTCAGGTATTGTGGTATATTGAAGTGCTGTTTAGTGGTTAGTCGAGTTTCAGTAATTAGTGCCACATCAATGTTCTTGTCAAGTAGTAAAGTAGATAGTTCGTCTGTATGATTTCTAACACCATTCGCATTCCAAAGGAGAATGGATATGGGTTTAGAGATGTGAGTCATTTAAGGATTTTTCAAAGGAGGGATGAGGTGAGATACGAGATTCGTGAGGAGTGATATGAGTGGAGTAACAAGGGATTTGAAATCGGTGAGGAAAGATGCTAACAAACTTGTGAGATCTGTTGCATTTGAAGGAGGAGGAATATGAGGAATTTGTTGTTGGTGGTTAGGTATATTAGGATGAAGAGGATTTTGAGGTTGGGTTTGAGGTTGTTGTTGTGGCAGGGCTTGACATTTATCGGTTAAAGTCTTACCTCTAAGTAGTTGGGAGAATGATACATCATTGTTTACAATTCTGGAAGGCTCTCTCTCTCTTCTTGTTCTTAGTGCTTCATCTTGAATCCGGTTTTTCTGGTGTCTGGTTTTGAGATTCTTGTAAATTTGGCAGCCTTTGTAGTTGGCCGGGTGTCCCTCCAAGCATAGGGCACATACTGCTGGATCTTGTATAGGTTTGGTGCACTCTACAGATTTGTGCTGTTCACCGCACTTCACGCAACGCGGCAGATGGTGGCAATATGTCTTCGTGTGGCCATAGGTCTGACAATTATGGCACTGCACGATGTCTCTCTTGGGATATGGCTTCTCAACTTTCACCATTGTATAGTATATTCTTGTGATATCATATATTTTTTCGATACCTGGTGATGGCTCCAAGTCCACGAAAAACAATGGTAGTGGGATCCTATTTCGTAATCCTGGCTGCTCCCTGTCCTCCTTCAAAACGTTTGTTACCTGGCGTACATTGAAACCAAGCGTCGTTAGTTCTTCTTTAATAACTTCAGTGGGGGTTGAGGAATGTAAATTTCTTATCACCACTCGTAAAGCTCTTTCCTGCCTCAGCTGGTAAGTGTGAAAATTCGCATTTGTTTCTGATAAGTACTTCACTATTTTTCGGTAGGCTTCTGCAGAATCAGGTGTTATCTTGGTGTCATTGGTCCTGTTAAGGCATGAATAACTGCCAGAGCAGATTTTATTTAGTTGGGTGCAGAACATCTGGAAATTTTTTATATTTTTCACAAATATCGGAGGAGGCTTTGGTTCTCTGGGTATTGCTGCAGACTCCATTACTTCTTTGTCATTTTGAAGCACTTGGTAGGGGTTTGGAGTAAAGAAAGGTGATTCTTCAATCGTTTCTTGTGCAGACGTACCTGGTTGGGGCTGAGGTTCTGGTTCTGAAGTGTTCATTTTGGTCACTGGAGGTTTTTCTCGTAGGCAGCGACGAGTCCTTTGTTTGGCTGGTGAGCTAACTCCGTCTGACCGAGACCTCTTGGGCACCTTACTGGCCATCACTTGCTGATCATACCGCATATCATAAGAGAAAAATAAATAAATAATTAAAAAAAAGAAAAATTTTTTTTTTTTTTTTTTTTTTTTTTTTTTTTTTTCTTAAAATAACAAAAAAAAAGATGCCAACAGTAAATATCAACTGCTCTGATATACACTTTAACTGTATCACGTGAATAATCAGAGAGATTCCGCTATAAAATTGGTAAAAACTGAGAGAGGAGTTGAGGAGACAACCTTCTCATCAGCTGATCCACTGCCTTCAATCTCAAACGAAAAATTACCAAAACATTAAAAGTATTATAGATGTTCTGTATATCATCACATTTTGAAAATTAAAAACTGATGTGCTCTTGTAAAAATGTGTTGCGTAACCAACCAAATACTCAGATTAATTAATTAATATTCAGAAAATTAGTTTTAAATTTATGATTTGTATTTGGTACATAATTGTAAATGTGATTTATAAGTAATATATTATAAGGCTATGTTATTAGAACAATTACTCAAAACATTAATTTTCGAATAAAAATGTATGCCTTTTGTCTGTTAAAACTGTCTTACATTGAAATTTTAAAAACCTTACAAAATTAGTTTAATTAGTGTTATAGATAATCAACATAAAACATCAATAAAACAATTTACTTAATAAGAAGTGAAAAAAAAATTAAAATTAAAGAAACGATAAAGTTCTGTTAATTATAAAAGTCGAAATCTGGAATCATCTGCATAAAAAAAAAAAAAAAAAAACCCTATAGATGTATTTTAATAAGAAATTCGTATACTTCACTGTATATGTCTTCAGAAAGACAGATTCTAAAAATAATTTAAAAAAATTATCATTGAATATATAGCACAAAAATCCAAACCAGAAAACATCATTATTATCCTAATTATGTCTCTTTTTTTATCTATATTTTCATTGATAGTAATATAATTTGCGGAGTAGGCATTTATCCACTGGCTTTTATTGAGTGTGGATGTTATATATATCACTGTAAATATATTACATTTCGTATTACAATTATTTTTCTATTAGATAGGCTATTGTTTATAAATTGTACAGTTATGTATATATGGATATGTAATTTCTTTTCTTTCTTATTTTTTTTTTTCATAACAATAATAAGTAATTTTGAGAAGATTTTATGGTCGTTTATATATATACGATAAAAATATAAATATATATATCTTTTTTTGTTTATTTCTTAGTGGTTAAATACTACTTTTTAAATAATGAATTTAATGTTAGAAATTTTATAAGTTATTTTTTGGTCAGATTTTTATTTGATTTTGTATTAATTCATCTTTGTTATTCTAAGGGGACTTAGTCCCAAAATAAAGTTCTATTTTCTATTCTATTCTATATATTTTTATTTATTTTATTTAACACACACATTTTTATTAAGTTATTTTTGCGGCTCTACATACCTTATAAGGGCCTTGGCCTCCACAACGCCTCTCCAATCCTCCTTATCAGCTGCCCGGTTAACACATTTTTATATTTTTGAATGGTTGTATGCTATATATATATATATATATATATATATATATATATATATATATATATATATATATATATATATATATATATATTATATATATATATATATATATATATATATTTTTTTTTTTTTTTTTTCTTTTTTGCGTCTTAAACTGTTTAATATAAATCTTCGTCAAATGCGTTTATGCAACCTACCGTTTTCCTTTAGTATGTATTTGGATGGCTTGTTGAGATGTCTTTAGTAAATGTATTATTTTTTTTCTTTCTTTCTTTTTTTTTTTTTCATATATGTGATCTTGTTTTTTCGTTCCTGATGACGCCTGCATTGGCGAAACGTCAGCACTTCAAATGTATGCTAGAGGCTCAATACTTTTTCCATTTTCATTCTAATAATAACATTATTATTATATAATAATTAATTATTATAGATGAAGGAATAATATCATTCGGAAAGCGGTACCACCACTCCAATTATTCACCAATGGGCTCATATTAAAGTCAACAATGACAGGCACGGATGTTATGAAAAAAATATTTAAATTTTACATTTTAAAGTGCTCAGTGAGGGTCAACATTCAATTCTTTTAGATACAGCGCTTAGTGTACGGAAATTTTCAAATATTTAAAAAAATAATATAGAGGAAATAAATAATAATAGTAATAACTAAATAAGATAAATGTAAAAAAAAAATGATGACCTTAAGATGCTGAGGAGATGAACAGGAAGGTAGCAGAGCGCAAACATAATAACAACGGCGACTAACATCTTTGCAGCCTTTCTTCTAGACCTCAACTGTCCTTCAGCGCTGGCGTTGGCGAAGGTACCTCCCCTCCTGCAGCCTGCAAATAAAAACATTCGCCATTATCCTTTCATTTTATATTGAAAAGTAAATCCTCGATTTCAAAAATTATTTAAAAATGTCATCGGAATCGAAGTTTGCACTTGAATGGGTGGTTGTCCCCCTCCTCCCCCCACTCAAAGTTAGATTACCTATTAGGCCCTCCTTTTGTCCTCTAGGGGCTAAACTGAATTTTCCCCGCTTCCTGCTTCTTTTACCTCCTTTCATTGAAAATTATCTTTTGTTTCGCCTCCCTTTCGAGTAAAATTCAATTGAGCTTGAGAAAAGTTTTAGTGTCCGACAAGGGAAGTGGGGTAGGAAATTACAGGGACCGATACCTCCACTTGACAGCACTTTAACAATCCTTATCAAATTGGCTCAAGATTAAATTACTGCCCCTTTCGATTCTTTTCTTCAGATAATTTTGTTCATTTATTTACTCCCGATTTTGGCACTTTAAGCATTTGATGCTAGCAAATAGACTTTAGACTGCAAATAAAGGCATTTTGATGACTAAATAAATGGTCTGACCATTATCAGGAGTCTTTCAAAGGCTGATTTTATAAATCTAATGTACTGCGAATTTTAAACAAGGCTTGGTTCTTTGAATTGAACCTACTAAACGACGTAGTAAAAACTTTTTCTAGACCTAGATCACATTGGAGTCGAAAATTCTTCTAAGTGTGATAAATGTAATCAGAAAGAATCACCCCAGCATATAATTATAGAATGCTCTGTCCATAAAAATCAAAAAGATATTCTTATTATAATGATAATCTATATAAAACACTGTTAACGTCAAACGAATTTGAGCCAGTCGTCTGTGTCACATAATAAATTAATTAATTAAATACATTTAAAATTAAATTAGTTAACGGTATTAAATCAACTGCTTAACTGTAATTTGTAATTTGTTTGAGTTATTTTCAAGTAAAGCCTCCTTTTCTTCATAAGCTTTTCCTGTCTTTTCAGGAGGATGTGCTTAGTTTTATTGGAGAAGATAAACTTAAATATTATAGCTCAATCATTGGATCCGATAAAGAAATAATGATGTTGCGTACTGTCAAAAAATACCACAGTGAAATGATATAAAATGAGAGGCTACAGTAAATAGAATATATTAATTTTTATGTGATCGGGAGTCCATGGAAACTGCTGTGGAGGATTCACTATCGCTAGAATAAGGTTGGACCCATGTTTATCTCAAAAACGGCACATTTTAGTGCATTAGAAAAAAGACCTTAATATAGTTCTGAAGAACTACACCAAGAAATATTCTTAAAAACAGTTCATTCTGTCTCGATCCTTCGAATTTTAAAAAAATCATTTTTCAAACCTCCTTAATTTTTTCAATCACTTAAAGTAATGAATTCTCAATTACTTACCGGCCATCCTAGCACCAAAAACCCGTAATAATTTCGGAATACATTCAGGTTATATTTGAGGGATTGGCGGGACCGTAAAGTAATGTCTCTGTATATTTCGCTATTCGACGTAATTTTGCAGCTGATTTTGTACATCAAAGTCGTGAAAAAACTTTCTATTAATAGAGTGACTTGTTTAGATGTAAATAATTTTTTTTTTTTTTTTTTTTTGGCAATTTTTGATAAAATGGCCAGTCAATTCGAGAAGAGGTACATATCCGCTTGCTTTTTGAGTTTCGCAAGAGTAGTAACGCAACAATTGCTACCAAAAACATTTATGATGTTAATCCAAATACATTAAACGTTTGTAAATGCCAAGAGTAGTTTTCGAAGTTCAAATCCTGTAATTCTTTCCAAATTCCTGTAATTCTTTCCAATCCTGTGATCTTTCCGCCTCGTATTGATCAGGAAGGCCAAAAAAGTTAGACAATGACGTTTTAATGCGGAAGTAGAAGTAAATCCGTGTCAGACAATCGAGGAATCATTAAACAGTTTTAAAAAACCTTAATCGACCATCCAAGAACATTTGCAGTAGGTTGCGAAACCACCACATGCAACTTATTGATTCAACGGCACAATACCGATGCGTTTTTTGAACGTTTGATTACCGGAAATGAAAAATGGGTCATCTATGATAAACCAAAACGCAAAAGGCGGTGATTCCCTCCAAATAAATAACTCCGAAGCTAAGTTCGGTTTACACTCCAAAAAGGCCTAAGGTTTATTTTAAAGTGCTGAAACCTGGTCAAACTGCGATACCAAACCTTTACTGAGAAAAATCGGATCGTGTAAATCAAGCTTTTATTGAAAAGTGGCCAGCGATTGTCTACAGAAAAGGCGTTATTCTGCAACACAAAAATACAAGATTGCATTAAGCAAGACGAACCCTAGAAAAATTTAATGAATTGTGGTAGGAGGTACTGCCTTGCATATTCACTCGATGTTGTACCATCGGATTACTATTTATTTCGATCGGTTCAACACTTACTAAGTGACAAAATATTTTCGAATTTGGGTGATACCCAAAATGCCATTTTTATATTTTACTCAAAATCCAATTGATTTTTGTCGATTCGGCATTGAAAATTGGCACACTAGATGGCAAAATTATGTTGATAGTAAGGGTGATTACATCATTAATTAAAAAAATATATATATATTAAAAGTATGTGTTTGAATTTAGTGTAAGAAAACGACATTACTTTCCGGTCCCTTTAATAAATAGGTTTTTTTTTTTAATTCTAAAATTTATGAAAAAAAAGTATATCTGCTTCTGAAAATAAATATAGTCAATGTAATAAAATATTATTCGATAGTAAATTAATTTGCCTACTCACTTCCACCTCCTACTATCTGACCAGGAATGTTGTCAGAAGACCAGAGTACCTTGACGATCTGGAAGTAGGCAACTGACATGAAGAGTAAAGGTAGAACGTAGAGGAACGCAATCTTGACAGCGGAAAATGTCTGCTCCAACGACTGGTCCCAGCTGGCCTCGCATTGTGTAAATAAAATAGTTTCGATCCGAAGATCGTCTCTGCTGAATGTAGTCAGTGTCATCATCTCTGGCAGGTCTGCAAAAATCTTGTATAATTAGAGATTTTTATGCTAATACATACTTTTAGATGTTGGTTATGCTGAAAGAAAATAGGCCACCTCGGTTTCTCACCAATGGAATCTCCGATGGGGCAATACTTATTAATATGTAAGTTCAACAATCGGCATGAAAGAGAATAGGTCTATATAGTATTAAGGAAAGGTCTTGTTCTCAATGTCGTGCCACTGAAGCTCCCGTCCTCCGTCTTTCTTTACCTTCTCATCGCATAGTGGAGCAGAGCCCGCAAAACTCATCAAAAATGGAAGTCCTAGTTTTATTAATGAAATTAACGATTACTGGAATAGACAGACTTGTCAAGATACAATCCAATGGTAGCAATTACTAAATAGTTCTAATAGAGAAGATATCGGTGCTATCTTCTTTTCAGACGCCAAGCAGGATTATCAGGAACCAAGGCTGGAAACAAGTGGGATCGGATGGGTCTGGAGTTTATCATAAAAGGATAGGTATAAACATAAAATGACCAGTTTCAACTGAAACTCCATGCTGCATTCACCCCCTGAAGAAGACCTGCAAAGTCGGATCGAAACGTTGGCTTCAAATAGTTTTTCCACTATTTTAGTCTCTTTGTGACCACCCCGTACCACGCCCTGATAATGAACCACATGCTCGGTTTGAAACCTCGGCACTAATAAAAACTTTACGATGACTGCGTCCTGAATATTTATCACCCATGATATATAGAACAGTCGAATAACTTCCTTCAATAAATTAATGAAATATATCTAAAATTAAAATAGGTAACAATAGTACATGAATAATTTCCATCAACACCAAAAAACAAAAAAAGCTTGACTATAATTTTTAATTTGTTTGCATGTAAAGTCTCCTTTTCTTCATAAGCTTTTCCTGTTTTTTCAGGAGGATGTGCTTAAAGGATGTCCTGTGTGTTCTGGAGAAGATAAACTTAAATATTATAGCTCAATCATTGGATACGATAAAGAAATAATGATGTTGCGTACAGACAAAAAATACCACAGTGAAATGATATATAATGAGAATATATATAATAGAATGAGAGCTACAGTAAATAGAATATATTAATTTTTATGTGATCAGGAGTCCATGGAAACTGCTGTGGAGGATTCACTATCGCTAGAATAAGGTTGGACCCCTGTTTATCTTAAAAACGGCACATTTTAGTGCATTAGAAAGGAGACTTTAATATAGTTCTGTAATATTAACAATATACAATATAGTTAATTGTTTTTTCGGAGAAGATAAACTTCTATATTATAGCTCAATCATTGGATTCGATAAAGAGATAATAAAGATGTGGTGACAATACCAAAAAATATCACTGTGAAATAATATATATATATATATATATATATATATATATATATAAGTCTTATATTTTATAAGTCTTAGTCCTTCCTCTATAAAAGGATAAGTATCTGAATCGAGCCTAATCAGAGACATATGGAACATTAAGATCTTTATGAATGATTTTATTATTGACGAAATTAAGGATTTCTCATTGTAAGGATTGGATACAATAGAAAATTGATGGTTTAGTAGAGCTCCAAAATTCAACACCGAATGTCCATATAGGCCTTATTATAGTCATGTCAATTAACCTTTTCTAATTAATTGTCTAGTAAGTAGTGTTGTCCAAATGCGAGACCAAGACTCGTCTTGGACAACACTACTTTCATTTTTATTTTTTAAAATAAATATTTGATATATTATTTGAAAAATCTATTTGTTTTTACCACTCTTGGTCTTGGTCTTGCAACAGTCAGGTGGTCTTGGTCTTGGTCTTGTAAAGTGCAAGACCGATACCGATTTTGGGCAACAATACTAATAAGTGCTGGAGCAGCCGGAAACGTCGTGTAGTTTATTGTCTTTTCAGTCTTGTCAAAGTGGATTCCTATGTAATGGATTTGTTCAACAAGGAAAATTGGAATATTATTAAAGGATACTGTAGAACGAGAAGTCATAGATTTACGAACAAAAATTCAATTAAATCGGCTATGTAGGAAAAAGCTTGTTCCTTTGTTTAAACTGTAAAATTTTGTAGGAAAAAATATATATAAAATAGCCTTTGTGTGGATTTAAAATTGTAAAAATGTCATCTGTGTTATTATTCTGTACATTTTACTTTTTCTTTTTTAAATAAAGAAAAACCCCTATCCTTTTTCCGTCCCTAACACGACGATCTTAGTCCCTCCATAGATGACGTTGAAGAGACTCGAGATAAATATAGACAATTATACTTTCTTAGCTATAGAAAGGATAAAATAGAAATAGTGACCAATGATTCGATGAGAGAAAATGGATTGAAGCAATAATAAAATATAGAAATTTACGTACATGTCCGTAAATAAAATATGAATTGTTAAAATAAATTATGTAAAACATAAATTATAGATAAAACCAGCAGTTGAATAATGATGTGTATATAATATAAAATTAATTTTTTTAATTGTATGAAATTAAATTACCTTAAAATGAACACAATTTTGTTTAGAATGACCCATGTACTGGCGTAAATGTCGTCAGAGGATATTGTAAAAAGCAATAAAACATTGGTGGAAAGTAATGGTCTTGTCTGAATGAAAAATGGGCCACCTGTATAATTTCTGAAATCAACCATCCAATTAAGAATGATTTTTCGTGGTAAAAAAAAAGTTGTAAAGGACGCATCTTGGAAAAAATATTTTTTTTAAATTTCATGTAAGTTCTTAAAATCGGTTCATAAAATCAATTTATATAATTTTTTGAATTAATTTCATTCATTGATATTGAAAATCTCTGCTAACCCAGTAGATGGATCGAGAACTTTGCGGATAGGGTATATAATCGAAAAAGTTAAATGCAAGTTAAGGCATAGAGATATACAAAACGTGGAATCCTCTACCTACTACCCAAACTACAGATTAAAATTTGATCCATGCTTAGAAACTCAGGCCGTCTTTACATCTCCAGTACCATTCAGATTTATAAAACATATAACACAAATTAAATCTGCAAACGTAATGTTTATTAATCTGAGTCATAAAAAACTTACCACAAAACTTAAAAGAGAAAGTTTATGTTCATTGTGTAATTTCAATGAAAAATTTATAACATCTTTTCATAGGCTGTCCCATTTATAATTACTATAGGCTATAATTATTAGCCACATTAAGTTCAACGGCCCCTGCCATGTTTACATCATTTATAAAAACAATAACTATAGAGCAGATATCCAGTTTATATTATTATACTGTTTATAACCTCAATTTATGAGAATTTATCCGAAATGTATGGATACTTATAGTTTTAATTTATCAATAATTTTTCTCTCCCCCCCCTTTTTCTCGCCTCTACCCTAAAGGGTCATTGGCGTTTTCTATGATTTATACTCTGTTATAGTAGTTTACAATTTTTAAAAATTTTAACACGATCGAGACTCTTTCTTCGTTATCTTGGAGTATTTCGTTCAGTGTTTTTCCTAGTTCTATTTTTTCTTTGTGCCTTTCGAATTGGGGACATTCTATTAGCAGGTGTTTCACAGTTTTCTGTGTATCATTACATTTCTCGCAAGTAGAAGCTTCTGGGACTCTTAAAAGATAACTATGAGTGAACTGGCAGTGCCCAATCCTAAGGCGGCACAGTATAATTTCTTCACGCCTGGACCTTCTGTTGCTAGTGAGCCATTCATCGCAAGTGGGTTTCACTTCTTTCAGCTTACACTCTTTGATCCTCCACTCTTTTTCGCACACTGCCAGTTGTTTTTTCTTTATTTCGTGTACCCAGTCTTCTAAAGTAATATATTTCACTCTAGTCACTTCCTCTTCTTCTCCACTTCTTGCTAAATGGGCTGCATTGTCAGCATTTTCATTTCCTAAAATTCCGCAATGAGTGTTGCCCAAATGCGAGACCGAGAAGAGTCCTGGTCTTGGAAACTCAGTCTTGGTCATGATCTTGGTCTTGCGCAAGAGTCTCGCAACAGTCTTGCAGTTACTTACTAAGATTGTCGAGCATTAGTAACTATTTTGCCTTAATTTTTATTTGAAAAATCGATTTGTTTTTACCAGTCCCGGTCTTGGTCTTGCAACAGTTAGGCGGCCTTGGTCTTGGTCTTGCAAAGGGAAAGACCAAGACCGATTTTGGGCAACACTAGATTTGCTTTGTAGTAGTGATATCCTGTAATAATAGTACCCTGTTGTCTCATATGGTATGGTTGGTGTAATTATTAGTGTTTAGTTGAATGGTATGGTACGGTAAGCTATTGTGGTTGTGAAGCTAGATTATATTATTGTGTTGTATAATATTGTGCTATTTTATGTTATATTATATTATATAATGTAATATTGTATCATGTCATATTATATTATTTGATGGGAAATATTCATTGATGATTAATATGTTTTGTATAGATAAAAAAAATCAATAAAAAGAATACTTTGATTCAAATATATTAACTAATTTGCTAATGTTATATTCTAATAATAACAAAGTGTGTATCTGCTTCAATTGTATTTTTATGGGGCCATTCCCCAAAACAAATAAATATATATTCTATTCTATTCTATTCATCCGATTAACGTAGAAAAAAACAAAACATTGAAGGTACCACGAAACTTGACTAATCGAGGTAAAAATATAATTTTCGCAAATCATCCAATCTTCTTTTTGATCTCTTAATTATTCAGCAGGTGTGGTCAAACCGGCTCGAAATTAATCTTATTGAATTCAGAGCTAAAAGTTACATAGGCATTGTGGTAGATACTGGTCGCCTATTGTTTTATAATATTTTTTTGTCGGAAATTGAGTTTAGTCACCCACTGTGCGCTGCACCGGAGTCAAAGAAAATTGTAGGAAAATGCTAGGTATTTCGATGCCTCAATGCTAGTATCTAGCTAATAAAAATAAATGGACCATGAGACCTTCCAATGAATTATAAAAGAACCTTATTATAAAATAATGTAATGAAAAACTATAAAATTCAAGTAAA